TTTCAGGTAGTTTTAACTAGGGATGCACAATATTGGCTTTAAATGTAAATATCGGCATGGGCCCGATCAGAGCCGGCCCTCCTTATAAGCGAACTAAGCGGCTGCTTAGGGCCCTGCCGCCACTAGGGGGCCCCCACTAGTGGTCTGAGTTAGAGACCTGCACTCCCGCGGGAGTACCGCGGGACCCAATGGAACAGGGTGCGGCGCGGGACAACTCTTGATGGGCGAGTGCGGGCGGGAAGAGACTCGTGTGTGTGCGGGATGCGGGAGAATAAAATGATTCACGGGATTCCTGCAAAATAGAAATTATCTAAACATAAAATGTCTAAAACATATAAATTGTTATTTATGTGTTGCACAAAAGTAAAAAGAACAACTAATAACATTGTAATGATTAACAAGGGCAAGCTAGGCAGAGTTTCTATTTATAACACGTGTTTAAAGGGTTGCCAATATAGCTAATCACAGACTCAGCTGTTGATTTCTGGAACGCAATGGCCAGCCAGAGGTGATTATGTTAGAATCCACTCACTGCAGTGCTGAAATTGCGTGCTCATGAATCGTCTCATTTCAACACACGAAGTGTAGACATTGTGAAAGATTCTTTGTGAATATGTTCATTGTGTTATAACAGAGCTTTATGGGATCGCGATGAACTGAGATGTCAGCTTTTAGTGATGATAAAGGAAGCGCTGCTCGCATTCTGCCATGCCAAACCATTCACGCAGCAGCCCTTGCTTGCTTTTCTGTTAAAAATAACAGTGGTTTGTGAATGTTGATGCTGAGCCTAAATAACAAATATTTTATCGGGAGCAATTTATGCTGGGATGTTGTGGATTATAGGGGATGTTACAGAACCATTTAATGTAAATTTCTTTGATGTGCTGAAAAAAATGTGGGAAAAATTATGCAGGATTTTGCAGGCGGGAGCGGGCCCAGAGAAGATATTTTTCTGAGGGAGCGGGCGGGCGCGGGACAGAATCTTGCGGGAGCAGGACTGAAAAATCCGTCTCAGAAGACGTGCTCAGGGTGTGCTATGATTAGTGTAACGGGGTGACAGAGACGTGAGGCGAGCGGATCCACTTGCAAGGCTTTATTCAATGACATGGTCAATACAGGGAAGAGTCAAAACCCGAGTAAACCAGCAAGACAAGATTATGACTAGGAACTGAAAACTAGACAGGCTCCGTAGAGTAGCTATCGCTTGGAGATAAACGCATACAATACTCGGCGACTAGAGCAGGATCAGAGGGAGTATTATATAGTGTGACTTATTGGATGCAGGTGAGTGCGCAATCAGTGCAGTGGAGCATGGGAGATGTAGTCCAGAGTGATGTGTGACAGTCTATGTGGAGTGAGTGTCAATATGGTGAGAGAGCGACCTCTTGTGTTCATTGGATGAAAGTCCATGGACTGGATTCGTGACAGAGCCCCCTCCCAAGGAGCGGCTTCCAGAGCAGAAGACCTCCATGACGGAGCAGAAGACCTCCACGACGGAGCAGACACCAATGGCAGAGACTGGAACCTGGGAAAAACTGAGACACAGGAAACAGACAGTGCATTTACGGTCTCAACGACCGAGGCAGGGAACACAAACAGTTCCTCACTATTCTCCCAGGTGACCACTGAACGGACAGACAGTTCATAACCTTGCTCACTGATAGTAGCTGAACAGGTAGACATTTCCAAATCTCGCTCACAGACTGAAACGGAATAGGAAGATAGTTCACAAACAGGCTCACAGATAGACACTGAACAGCCAGACAGACCATAAACGGGCTCAAAGACTAGAATGAGCAAGACGGAAGGTTCAACAGACACATTTGGGAAAACAGAACAAGCAGAGAGTTCATGAATGATATCTATGGCATTGATGGGGTTAATGGGACAGATATGGAGTGCATTTTCAGTCTCTGGGCACATGACAGGCAGGGTTAAGGATTCAAAGGGGGGGTTTTGAGCAGTGACAGACAGGGCTAAAAGTTCAGTGTTGGTCTCTTTGAGGGTGGCTGGACAGACAGGCAGTTCAACATTGGTTTCCATGGCTAAGGCTGGTTGAATTGTGAATGGACAGATGGACCTTTCATTAGTGGCCTCTTTGGCGATGACCGACAAGGCTGACAGTTCAGATACATTAGGGGAAACGGAACAAGCAGAGAGTTCATGTATGTTATCTATGGCAGTGATGGGGTTAACGGGACAGACATGGTGTGCATTTATAATTTCTGGGCTCATGACAGGCAGGGTTAAGGATTCAAAGGTGGGTTTGTGAGCTATGACAGACAGGGCTGAAAGTTCCATGTTGGTTTCCTTGAGAATGGTGGGACAGACAGGCAATTCAATATTGGGTACATTGGAAAAGGCTGATTGGACAGACAGATCGTTCATTAGTGGCTTTTTTGGCGATGACAGACAAGACTGATAGTTCAAAGACAGCCCTTTCGGCTGGGTCGGGACAGGACAATAATTCATCATTGGCCTCCATGGCCAGTTCAGAACAAGGCAAGAGTTCACAGACGGCCTCCATAGCCGTGACAGGACAGGCAGAGAG